GCGGCGCAGCTGCAGAGGCTGTTCAGGCGCCTGGTAAGTGCGGCGCGGAGGCGGGGGCTCCGAAACCGCGGAAACCCCTTGTCTTCCGGGAATCCCCGGACTCGATACCCAGGGAAGGGGGCTTAGAATAAGACCCTCACGCAACTTTCAGCCAATAGTAGCACTCTGATCTTTACCCTCTGCGGGTAAAAATCGGCTTTCTCGAGGTGAGAGTTCGCTCTAGGCGCGAATAAGAAAAATGGTCCCTATGCATTGCTATGGGGATTAAATCAGTTAAGTTTCAGTAAAGTCTTAGGATCTGGGGTCCTGAACGTTAGCTATTACTATGAGCACAGATAGAAGCTAAATGCAACAGAAACTCAGAATGCTAGCGTTCCCAAATCCAAGCATTTAAAATCACCAAATCTTGTTTGTACCCAGTTGCAATCAGCAGGACCGGAAAAGCCTCACTTAGTGGCTATTCTGGGAGTTTCTAGCCGAGAGCCCTTGGAATTAAAAAAAAGTTTTTTCGGAGGAGGAGAAAGAATTGTAGATTCACGTAGGAAAGAGTGCAGAGAGACCTCTGGCATACCATATTCGGTTTCCCCGATGGTAACATTTTGCAAACTTGGAATAGGTTTTGAGGGGTGTCCCCGAGCCCCAGATTATCTGCAAAACCAGGAGTAGATTATATTATGGGTGCTCCTTCAAATTTCCAAAGTTTCCAGGTCACCTCTGACCATAGTCTGCCCTCTGCCCGGTTTTAAGGACAAGACTGCCGGGAGAGGCGAGGTCTTGGGAGGCTGTGGTTTTGAGGGGTGGGTGTTGATTGGGGCGAGAGTGTAAGCCAGGCATTTTCTGCAGGAGTCCCAGGCCTCGTGGCTGGACGCCGTGGTGCCCCGTTTGGCCGAAGTTCTGCATCTGGAAGACACGCCCAGCATCCAGATGGAGGTGGGGATGCTGGTGCGGGACTACCCAGACATCAGGTGAGATCCCCACCCCCACGCCGGCTTGGTTCCTTGTTGCCCGCGCTGCCGCCAGGCCGAGGTCTCCCGGTGAGCCTTGGCATCCGTCCCTGCGTTTCCTGCCTCTTGGGCGAGGGAGGGAGGCGGCGAGCGTGTCTGACGGCCGTTTCCTGCTGGAACCAGGGCATTATTAATACGATTTCCCTCCTTCTCCTGCCGCCGCCGTCGCTGCTGCCGCCGCCACCAAGGCTCGCAAACAAACAAGCAGTCACAGGAAGCCCAGGGCAGGGGGGCGCGGGGCCGCCTGGCGGCAGGAAAGGGCCGGCCCAGCAGGGGAGCCGCGGGGGACATGGGGACACGCACGGGCACACGGGCGCACACGCACTGGGACGGTGGCAGGCGCCATTCAGATCCTGAGGGACCGTTTCCTTTCTCCGTGATCCTCTCTGAGCCTCAGTGTCCTCCTCTGTTCCGTGGGGACAATAGTACTTTTTTTGTAGGATTATTGAGGGATTCGTCATGGTCATTACCACTATCAGCATCATCATCTATGGTGACAGCAGTCACAATACCAGTTCTTGCTCGAGTCCTAACGTCAGACCTCAGAAAGCATCTTACACACCCACCCTATTAGAAAGGGTTATTTTAGAATAAAAGCTATTTTTGGAAAATATTTACAAGTAAAAGGCCTCACTGCTCTAAGTCCTTGGTACCATCCGAGTCAGGCAGAAATTAAGTAGCTTACCCCAAATGCCACAGCTAGCAAGCAAGCAGCAAAGGCGGGACATGAACCCAGGCAGCAGGCTCTAAAGCTGGTGCCCTTGACCACCACACAACACTGCCGCTTGTAAGCGGTGGTGGCAGTGGTGGCACTCTTGCAGTGCGAGTCAGGCAGACAGACGTTCTCCACTCAGAGAGACAAACCCCACAGGACCCGGGAGTGATGCATCAGCCAGGGTTGAGGGCGTGGGGTTGAAGGTGAGGATTCTGGAACTGATTCAGGATGCATGGTTCTGGTTCTGAGATGTGGGGCTCATGTCCTTGGAAAAGCACAGAGGCCAGGGTCCCAGCACTCCTGCTGGATTGAGGCTTCTGAACTTGAATCAGAATTTGAACACGAAGCTCAGTTTGAAAGGTCTCCAGCTGGGCTGCAGGGAGGGGTTCCAGAGCTGAGTTTTGGGGGCCATGTTTTGTAGCTCAGTTAAGCTAGCAGGTTCTCGAGCCCCATTTTGGATGAGTGTTTTGGAGCTGTGGAGATTCCAAACTTGGGATGTGGGAGGGTGAAGGCACTGAGCTGGGTGAAGGGAGGTGGTGAAGACTCCAGAGCTCTGTTTGAAATGAAAGTTCTGGAAAAGAATGTTGGGTTCAGGATTTCGAGTTAGAATCAGATAGTGGTTCTAGAGTTGAGTGTTGGATCCTTGATCTAGAGTTGAGATTGGGTGAAGGGAAAGTTCCATTGTGTTAGATTTAGGTGCAAGGATTGTGGAATAGAGTTCGTTTTGAGCACCTAGTTTCTAGTTGGAGTGAGGGTCCCCAAGGTGAATTTTAAGTTCTGGAGTAGACTTTTGGTTGAGAACAATTCCAGGAATGGATTAGGGGTGAAGTGAGTGTTCCAGGGTCAGAATTTGGATGAGGGCTCTGGAACTGTAATGGTGAAGAAGGTTCCAGCCCTGGCCTTGGGGTGAGGTGAGGGTTAGGATGGGGGTGTGGTGAGCATTTCCAGCCTAGATTTGAGTGCTGATGTGGGGCTGTTCGTGATGAAAGTGAAGATGACGTTCAGGTTGCTACAGAGTCCAGAGCTTAAACAGGTGTGAAGGTACCAGAATGGAAATTTAGGAGCTATCTGAGCTAAGTCGGGGGTGAAGATTGAAGGTTATTTAAATAATTAGGAACTCAGATGGGGTGCAAAGGAAGATTTTTGTGCTGGGTTTGGAAGTGAGGGCTCTGACATCCGTGGTGAGTAGGAGGATTTGGAAATGGTTGGGAGGGGAGTTCTGGAGGAGGGCTGGGATGGAGGTGGGATCTAGGGGGCCTGGCGGGAGGGGTGGCACTTTGGAGGACTGGTATTGGAGGAGGAGAGGGGCTCTAGAGCTAAGACAGGTTCTGGAACAGATTAGGTGGGGTCCACAGGTGGGCTGGGAGTGTGTCTGAATCAGAGAGCCCCATGCACCTGTCCTCTCCTCTACCCACAGGCAGAAGCACGTGGCCACCCTCCTCGACATCCGTGGCCTGCGCCACACAGTTGCCCGCCATGAGATCCTGGCGGTGGCCCGGGACCTGGAACTGTCAGAGGGGGGAGCTCTGTCACCCTCTCGGGACCATGCCTTCTTCGCAGACATCCCTGTGCCCCGGCCACCTTTCTGCCTCAGCCTCCCTCTCTCCCTGGGCTGCATCCCCCCTCTCCCGGCTGGCCCATCTGCCCTGGCCTCGGCCTCCGTCCGCATCACAGCCCCGGGCCCAGCACTGAGACACTCCAGGCTCCGCCTGGGCACCACCCCACATCTCTGCTGCTGACAAACCGTCCTCCTGGCTCCCTGCCTGGGACCACAGACCTCTGGGCGGGAGAGATCCTTCAGGGTCTCCTCACCTACCCTCAAACGCCCTGTCCAGAAGAGAAACAGGCCCGAAGGAGCAGGACTTGTCCACGGCCACGAAGCCCGCCCCCAGCACCACCTCTCTAGCCCAGTGTGTGGTGCGTGGCGTTTTGGAAGGCTCTCCAGAAATATCCCAAGCCCCCCCTTTCCCCTCACCTCAAGGTCTGGCCTCAAGCCAATGTATTAAGGAACGTACGATACTTAGAATAAAGAGGTTTCTATTTAACACAAGGAAGGGCTGAGTCCCCAGTGTGTGGGGGGAGGAAGGGCCGGGGGCAGGGCCCAGGGCCAAGGGCTTCTCACACGCCCACGGCCGGGCTGGGGTCCAACTCTCGGGCAGGGCAGTGGAGGGCGAGGGAGGCCCAGCAGGGCCGCCTTGTTTATACTAAGTCCCCAGGGCTGCGTGACTCCCCGGCAGGCCCTTGGCCTCTCTGAGCTGGGGCCCCTCATTTTGGTCAGTCGCAAAGCGCCTTCCTTTCTGGGTGGAGTGGTTCCACCTTGGCAGCCCCCGCCCCTCCCCCGTCCTTCACCGGGAAGCTGTATCAGAAGAGGAAGGAGGTTGGGGGCAGGGCTGGCGGCATCCAGGGCGCCCTCCTGGGTTGACGCAGGAAAATCTCAGGGTGGGAAAAGTTCCAGCCACTCACCCCCAGCCCCGCCGGATCCTGGTCCCCACGGAGACCTTGAGGTCACCTCCTTGCTGACCTCTGCCCCTCCGGCCCAGTTGGACAGCTTGTGATGGATGCTTCCTGGTGTGGCTCTTTTTTTTTTTCTTCCCTGCGAAATCGGAAGGAGGAGGCAGTCAGGGGTCAGTGTGGAGGTTGGGGTTGGAACCTCACGCACATTTGAACTCACGTTTGAAGGTGGGAACTCAGGACTCTTGGAGCCCCAGGGTTGTATGACGCTGAGCAGGAAGCTGACCCTCTCTGGGGTGTGGTTCCTATCCCTCTCTGAGGTACTGCTTAACCTCTCTGCCCAGGACAAGGTGAGATGTCCAGAGGACATACACTCCTCACTCCACGTCCTAAAATAACACTTTCTGTAGCATTGATATACAAGAGAGGAATTGAATTAACAAAGGGCAGTTTGTAGGCATGTAATGAGAGCTGTATTCATCTCAGTTTGGCAGAGTGCTTTTCAGATTTTGGTGCCCTGCTTAAAAATGGCTGTTTTGAAACATAATTTAGGCACCAGACAATTCATCCCCTTAAAGTGCACAGTTCAGTCGCCCTTCGTATGTTCATAGACTGGTGCAACCATCATCGCGGTTCATTCTAGAACATTTTCATCACCCCTCAAAAGAAGCCTTGCATCCCTTAATCATCAACACAAGCCCTATATCCCCCTCCGGCCCTGGCAGCCACTAGTCTACTTTTTGTCTGTAGATTTGCCTGTTCTGGACATTTCAAAACCGCACACTACATGGTCCTTGTGTGTGTGTGTGTGTGTGTGTGTGTGTGTGTGTGTGTAGTAAGACTACTAAATGAGTACTCCTACCTACTAACTACTTACTTTAG